AGAGAAGGGGAAGAGAGGAAGAGCAACGAAGAGAGGGAGATGGTGGGTGGGTCATGAAGATTAGATAGATTTATTTTGTGGGAAATAAGTTTTTAATAGATATATGTAAGATAAATTTTATTTCAGTCATTAAATCTTTAATTACTACCTTATTTGTATATATATTTAGAGAATGTCTAAAACAGCTCAAACTGGCCGGATCCCCATCAGACCATTAAACCTCAACCCCTGCTTGACCGGCTCAATAATTTAAACCGAGTTCACAACCTTGGGAGGGAGAGATAGAGAGTTCTTGGGGGGTTTGCAGTTGCAAGTTGGAGACTAGCATAAGAGAGTTGACTAGGGAAGAACTCATTCGAGTTAGGTTTAGGGCCTTACTAGGGGGGATTGGTCTACTCTTCTGGCTCCAAAAGAATAACGCATAGTATTCCGAGTGCCGGTGGGGCGGGTATTCACACAACCTAATTCTAATCCAACCTGCAAAAGCCCAAAGCGGGTTTTAATCTGGTCTAAAATCTCTCAATGTCGAGTTTTAACCACTGTGATTGGATTGGGTCGGATTGAGTGTCTGCTGCAGCTGCGAGTTCTATTGCCATCTCTAATTGTGACGTGGGGTTTAACATGCAAATACTAAACAATATATACTAGTGTTTGTAAATACTAAACAGTATATTAGGCTCCGAAATTGAGATAATCATAAATGGAGGAGTTTCTTGTAATTGTCCATATAACTTTACTAATATATCGTAGACTTGACGCGAGGATTAGCAGAACTTTTCTCCCCAATTCTAATTCTCGCTTGCAATTCTAGGGTTTTTTTCAACTTAGCTCGAACCCAGAAACATGCAACTCACTCTTGAATTTGGGTAAAAGTTTTCCAACTTTCTCACTATCGGCTGACTGATTCATTTTTAGCTGGGCTAGTTATTTGAAGTGAACCTCTCTGGGTTGATTGTATAACAGAGCAGTGAAGAATGCTCTGCTCTGAATCAGTAGGATGCCTATGAAGATTTGATTGATTGTTCATATTATTTATGATGTGGAATTTTCAGTTTTCCTGCGTGTTGCTCAGGAATTTTTCTCTAGCTGATTTGGCTTTGACAGTGATACGAGTCTTCGGCTTATGGGATTTTTCTTGCCTCTGCAGACTTACTTAAATTTGTTGGAATCATAATGTGTATATTTCGATTGGCGCTTATATAAAACCATTATTGTTGCTTGCTTATCACAAGCTGGTTTGAGATTCAGCTGTGGGCTTGATACTCTTGTACGCACGATCTCGTATTTAAGTTCATTGCTTCTCTGTTATGTCCCCTTTTTTCTGTCTCTGTTCTACTGGTAGTGATGTAGCTTGCTGCTACTGGATCTGCTGCAGTGGGGGGCTGGAGCTTCTTTGTGATTCAGTGAAGATGCATAATGTGAATGTGGATCTTGAAAATGGGTTGGAGCAGGTAAGTATTGTTCTTGAAAGGACAATAAGAATTGATTTAAACCCTTCTTCTGTCATATGGTTCCTGGTCAATTTTTTCAGTTAACAATGAAAGATTTGCTTGCTTGGGCTCGTACCAATTTGATCAAGGAGAGGCCTGAAATGTTCATGAAAGGTGATACCGTGTAAGTATATAACTCGATCGACTGCCTCAAAAGGGTTCAGGGTTTGGAAGTTTCAGTATATAGATAGTTCAGGGAAGGTATTGGTTGTCTGTCTCTGAGCTCAATTTTGATGGTTTAAAAATCATATCTTGGATGAATGTTTTTCTTCTTCTGAAACTTGCATATACCTTACAATCATCTTGGTGTCTGCGGAAACAGGAGACCTGGCGTTCTAGTTCTGGTGAATGACTGTGATTGGGAGCTCAGTGGGCAGCTTGATACAACACTGCAAGAGAAGGACGTGGTGGTTTTCATTTCAACCTTGCATGGTGGCTAATAGCTGGAGTTTCAGCAGCCAGCTTATTCAGTCGGTATCGCTATTATATAGACATACAATGTGTAACAATCTGCAAATCCTGCACGTAATTCTAGAAATTACACAATTCTCGCCATCTCTGAATAAGCAAATGGATAAGAATTACTATAGAGATCAAAGTGCAGCAAAAAAAAAAGTTGTCAACCCAGTGTCGCCCTGGAAGGTCGAACCAGGAAAAATCTAACGCTTTGATTGGTTGACTGAGCATCCTGGTTGACAAACCAGTGGAGTTTACTCTAGAATCTAGAGAGCATGCTTTCTTTCTCTATTTGGCAGCAAAGTCTGTCATCACTCATGGCTGGTGTGCGGGTCTGTCATGTCGTTGCCAGTTTCATCGAAAAACTTGCAAGGTTAATTACTTTTAGAATACAAAGTTCCAAGGATCCCCAATCAGCAAATTTGATGGTGGTGGTTGGTTTTGAATCAAAATTAGACTTGAAAAAGTTTCGGACTATCTTGTACGAGTGGGGAACAAGTCCCGATTGCCGAGAGCAAGAATGTGAGATTGGATCAAGTCCGGTAAACAGTGTGGAATCAGTCGACTCAAGCCCAAAATGGTGCATAGGACGCCATTTCCAAGAGTCTCAAGATTGAGCCCAGATTCATAAGGAGTACTTTTTCTTTCAGAAAACCTTATGCACATGCCTATAAATAGACCCCTAGGGGTAGAAATTCAACAGCTAGTGATAAGAGGCACTAGAGGGCCATTACTATGCCAACAGAGTGACTCTTCCCGATTTAGAGCAAAGTCAGAATTAAAGGTCGAATCGGATCTAGAATTGGAGATTTAGCCGCCGATTCCTTGTTGTGGCTGTCGATTCAAGGGTATCTCATTTCAGTCGTTGTTCTCCTAGTATCTCGTCCTCATGTGCGACTAGTTCCTTAGTTCCGTAGACTGGTGAACCCCAGAGGTTCTTTGACTATGTAACTCTCGATTTTGGGATATATGTGACTTGATTTCATCTATCTTTTCTGTTTGATTTGTTGTCGATTCGATTGTGTACGTAAGACGAGGACTATTTTCAAAGGATACATCCTCAAACCTAACTTTGTGGATGAAAGAGACTCGACACAACAGTCCCTCACGGTCGATATTCAACCAATCGAACTGTGTCGACTTCCTCAAATGCCATGATACATGGCAAGAATAAACCTAGCTAGAATCAAGCAGCTCGTATGTTGCCACGATCAATGTTGCGAGTCTAAATAACTCTAGAGGGGATTGCCTATGTAACGCCTCACCCTCACGTTCCCTTCACTAGCCAGTTTTATAGTTTTGATCTCCCGCATTGCCTTTTGTTTTTGTTCAAGCCTTCAAGGGGAACTTCAACCCTGGAGGCACGTCAACCACTCAACCTCCACATTCGATTTAAATCCACCATAGATCTCGTGCCTCACCACTTGAGTAAGTGGTTTTGAGATACCCTAGTGAATACGATCCTGGTTTTCGGACTGGTAAATTTGCATCCACCTACTACATGGTATCAAATTTTGGCGGCGTTGTCGTGGCTCTTACAACCATCATAAGGGAATAAGGTAAGGTAAGTGTTCTATTTTTCTTTTGCTTTTTCGTTTCTATTCATCTTTGTTTTTGTTTGTGTTTATTTTTCATATTTTTTTTAGTTTTATTCCCAGAGTCGGTGTCTTAAGTCGAACTCAGCAGAGACAGAATTGACAGCCAGGGGCCCAGGGCGCCAGGTTCCATCGTAATTCGACGGTCCATACGCCAATTCTTGTTCCTCTCTGGTTCTGTGCAATTCTTAATTTTGTTAGTATTTATTTCTTCTTCATTTTTATTACGTTTGTGTGTTAGAGTCATTGTCGAGGATAAACCCCAAAAGATGGAGAACCGGCAACCATGGCGCCATTTTCTAGCAAAAATTGGCGGCCTAGGCGCAAATTTTGAACATAAGCCTTTACATGCAGATTCTGCTCCCATCTTCTGTGTATGAGCCAACACGTAGGAATGGCAATGGGCAGGTCCGGGGCGGGTATCTCGATACCTATACCCGCCCATGGCAGGTCGGGTCCAGGTCGGGTAATTTATCACGGGGCGCGGGTCGGGGCAGGTCGACCCATTGGGTATGTAATTTAGGTGAAAAACATTAGAAATATTCGTTCTTCTCATTGAAAGACCAAGAAAGAAACCATAATATGATAAATGTAGTTAAATTATTGAAGAAATTGAGGTTTTCACTTATTTACAACTTTATTATAGCTAAAATATAATGTAATAAGAGGAAAATCTTAAGTAATTTGACTAAGATTATATGTAATTTAGGCAAGAACGGGTCGAGAATGGGGCGGGTCAGGGCAGGTCGGGTCATTGAGAGGTACCCATGCCCGCCCCGCCCCACTTACGGGACGGGTTTGACCCGCCCCAAAACAGGTCAAACAGGTCGGGTAAATCGGGTCAGGTCGAAATTGCCATCCCTACCAACACGAACCAGAGACTAGAAAAATATGATTGAACTTAAAAGGCTTGCCCAAAGTAGTGTGTATTAGAATGGTACTTCTGATTCTTCTGAATCCAAATCACCAACTCCACTTAAGAAAAGAGGTTCTAAGAGGAAGTAACTTAGCAACACTTCCCTTGTAAATGCATGGATCAAACAATTGATAAACCAACCTTCCCAAGTAGAAGGTTGTCCACATGAACAACGGCATAGCAAATCTTCCATTCTCTCCGGAAGAGGATCTTGGACAGCCAAACACTTGCACAAAAAATGTTTCAAATTCTGCTACTGAATAGTAAATTCTAAATATACGATTCGTGCTCACCGTATCTTTTTCACACAACACACATCTGCTCACAATGTTCCATCCACAACGCCATGCGTTAAGATTATGTTATGGAACAACAAGCCATACAAAGCATCTGACTTTGGTATGAACTGAGGTCTCCCAACAGCGTTTCAAGGAAAGTTAGGAACACCATGAAATTTTATTGTGACAAGGTTGTAATACATCGACCTTACCAAGAAGCTTGAGGTCTCCAAACAAATGTAACATTCATATTCTTTCTATAACTCATGAATTTCATAATAGATCAACTTTATATTAAAGATGAGATAACTACTAAAGTAATATTACAGATCCCTCTCACTCTAAATCCAATTTGCAAGGAATGATCGATTAAGGGAGTAAGCTAAGAGAGGGTGGAATTAGCGATTAACTGGATTGATACATTTGCCAATGAAATTAAAAAAGAAAAAACCTTATAGCCAACTAAGTAGTATTCAGTTGAAATTTCCCCTATAATCAGAAAGCGCTTATTAAATAGACAATTTCCATTTCCCCCCCCCCCCCCCCCCCCTCATCTCGAGTCTTAAACCAAAGGCCTCGTCTCTACACCGCCATCTTTCTCTTCCTGCATCTCAATTCTGGTTTCTCCACCAGTTGAAGTCCGAGAAGAAGAAGAAGAAGAAATCCTCTTGTAATTCGGATTAGGACCCTGATCCGGCAGCAGCTTAATAGTAATCCCCATGGCAATTAAGAGGAGCCCAGTCCCATGTTGCTCTGTTAATGGCTTGGTGAATATCAAGTAGGACAGCAGTAAAGTCACCGCTTTCCTCGCCGTTGTTACCTGGCAGTCGAATTAAAGAACAAGGAAAAGTTGGGCACAAATCATTCAATGAGCTAGGCTCAGGCTAAGGCTCCCCCTCATCCATTCAAACAAAGCCAATCAATCTTGTGATGTTACGTGACTTTGTTTCAGCAATGTACAGAGTAAAAACAGAGGACATTGAATGTGGGCACTGCCAAGTGAAAGAACATTAACAATGGCGGTGAAGGAGGACTGGGGAGCGTACCATGGCTGTGGTGGCAGCACCGAAAAGGGCAATGAGGGATAGCACTGAGACTTGCCCAATAAATGTTGCCATGGCTTCAAACACCAACACTCCGTACACGTATGGATGCTGCTCTCCCAAAAAGAAACAAAGAACACACATACATACAAGTTAGTACAGTGAGTTTAACTTAAGTAAGGAAAAAAAGGAAAACGGCCAATAAGCAAAAATGATAGGTTGTTGCACCTGCGAACACGAGGTCCATGCTCTGAAGAGTTCTCCTGTCAAAAGCATGGGAGGGATCAAGAAAGGCAAGCCCACTATGCTCGAGCAGAACAACATCTCCATCTGCAGCAAACAATGGATGAAAAAAGGAAAGAAAAAAAAAGTTGCAAGTAAAGTATCAGTAACGTAAAAACTAAAAACCCTCCACGCTGAAATTCGCAGTGGAGGTAAACGACAAACATAAGTGTCAGTGAGACCCTTTTGATTCCCCTTTTGTTTTCTCTTTACCTGGGTGGTTTCAGGATTCATGGTGAAGATGGCTTCCTGCAAGTTCCCAAGAAAGGAATCCATGACCAAGGCGCCAGAGATCATGACGACGCCAACCACGCTGAAGTTTGGAGACGTTCTGGCGTCCGCCAAGGTGAAGAGGATCAGCCCCACCACCAAAAGCAGTGCAGATATGTACTCATGGGCTGGGTATTTCCTTCTCAGACCCGGTATGAATGCACCCATCACCATCACTGGCAGGACCTGCAGAAAAAGAGCACCCACCCAACCCAAAAAGAAAAAAAAACATCTTCAGATTCGTCTGTCGTCTTTCTCTTTATTCCGTTAGAGGATTTCTCTGAAGTGTGTACCTTGGTGGACTTGAACATGATCTGTGCAGGGTAATTGAGGAAGGCGAGAGATCCCTTGGTGAGTCCATGGGAGCCCATGAGGACAGCAGAGAGCTTCACATAAGTCTTCCATGGGTTCACCATTTGTTTGGGCGTGAAGCCTTGGATGTATATCATGACAACATACACGGAGCTCTGGATAAATGTGAAGTACCATCCGTAGCTGGAAAGAGCAGGAAAATTTATGAGAACCCAGCCAAATATTAAGTATAGCAGTAAAGAATTTCACTAGCGCTCACCTAAACTGGAGCCTGTTGTACACATATTCCTGCAGTTGAATCCAAAAAAAAAAAAAAAAAAACGACGTCAGCTAATCCGGTCAGTTATTCATAAAGGAAGGGAAGAGGAAGCGAAGGATTTGGATGTTGTTATGGTCCCGAATCAAGGAACCGACTAACAATTATCCGGGGGGGAAGCCACGTCACCAGAGCAAAAATCTCATCTCACTAGTACCCTCAGAAGACGACAGGAAATCAGTAATGCACAGCCATTTTCGAAGACTCCTCTCCGATTCTAAAGTTCTGGGGTTGAATTGAACCAAAATGCTGAAAATGAAATCGAAATTCCAAACAAACCCGGCCTGATCTCTGGGGGAACTAATAATCAGAGAAGGGTTCACAGATTGGGTGATGATTAAGAAACCCAGCAAGGGGGAAACTCCACCCATAACACAAACAGAGCATGAACAATGGCCTGGAAACACAAGAATACAAAAGAGAGTGAAGGCAGAGAGAGAGAGAGAGAGTACCTCGCAGATGCCATTGACAAGGTAGCCGAAGAAAAACCCAGAAGAGCAAATCAGAAACTGCTTCCATCTGGGTAGGTCGGTGAGGGAAATCCCGAACAGAGACCGAGCCTGCTGTTCATTCTTCATCTTTTCTCTCTCTCTATCTCTCTGTGATTTCCCCAAGAACTCGCAGAATGAACGGAAGGAATAACGAATAACAAGAAGGTGGGAGGGCTAAGAAAGAGCAGAGGGGACGATGATGGGTAACTCGGCCAGCGGAATTTGACTTTACATGGGGAAACGGGTATCGGCTAGATTACGTTAACCATCCATGCCTTCTCCTCTGTCATTAAAGAGTAAGCGTAAGAAATGGTGGAAAGAAGGGAAGACTGAATTGGGAATTTGGGGGTTTAAGTTTATAGAGGAAGGGGAGACCGTCTCTTTGCCTCTCTGTGCTACTTATTGCTGGGCAAGTGAAGGAGGAAGGGAGCTGAATGAGTGCAGTGCCTAACCTTGTTTGCCTTCAATTAGGCGAGATTTTCTATGGACGTTTTTTTCCGGGAAAACGAACTTTGATGAGACTCCCAGAAAAATAAAATAATATTTCGGCTTGGCTTTTATCCCCTGCGGCCGGATGTATATCTGTTTCGCTCAATTCGCCCCGTCCGATTAAAGCCTTTCTGGTGACGTGGCAGTTTCCAGCAGTTAGGTTGGGGAAGTCGAATGACTAGGTTTGGGAGGACTGAGGAGGATAGCAGCTCCTAGGGGTGTTCAAATGGTTACCATGGTAATAACCAAACCAAATAAGTTTAAAATCTATTAACCATGGAATAAAATATCATAACCAAACCGTCCAAACTAATACAACAACCAAATTAACCAAACTAAAGTTTATTCGGTTTGGTTAATTGGTTAACCAAAATAACCAATATAACACCACATTATCATTAAGTGAGAAAAAGATTCAGTTAGTGCATCAATTTGCAATTTATATAATGAACAACACATAACAATCCACATAAGTATAGTTAACCCTTAACGTAAATACATGTAACAAATACAATTATCTTACATTTGACTCTTGAGTGGTTATGCAAAGTATTAAGTATGTGTATATAATATATATTAGATATATGAAAAATTACTTAACTGGTTAATTTGGTTTGATTGGTTAGGAGTACCTGAAACCAAACCAGACCACCTAAACCAAACAAGCTAAATTTTTTAACCAAACCAATTATCGAAATTAACCAAACCAAATTAGCCAAATACTACTGGTTAAAATGGATAGCATGGTAACCAAACCGTTTGAACACCCCCAGCTCCTAGACATAGATAGCTCTAAGAGAGTATGATCAGAGAGGGTGACGATTCTCAATCCAAATATTTTTGGGTTAATTGCATGGTTGGTCACTAAGATTACAAAAAACGTTCATGTTTGGTCACTGAAAATATTTAAATCCAATATTGGTCACTCAAATTAGTTAAATGGTTCAAGTTTGGTCACTCTCCGTCCAACTCCGTTAAATATGTCTGATGTGGCAGTCAACCCTCAAAGTTGACCGTTAACTCAGTGACGTGGCAATTAAAAAATAATAAATAAAATAAATTTTAATCTTCTACCATTTTCAACTCATTTTCACAATAAAGTAAAATAAAAAAATTATTATAATCACAAATTGAAAGAGTAGAAAGAGTAGCTCCCTCCTCCGCCACCACATCCCTTCTCGCAATCTCCATCTTCATGTTCATACTGCCTCTCCTCCCTTCCCAGGCCCCGGAATTCCTCAGCCACACCCTCAACACTCGTGGCTGGGAGTTCCTCCACCTCGTCTTTGTCGGCATCGCCGTCTCCTACGGCCTTTTCTCGATCTCTCATGTCTCTGCCACCGCCAATTCGCCAATTCCCGTCCCACATTCAATATTGGGTTAAAATTGGTCATCTGGGTTTTGTTGTTCACATGCCGAAGATTCCAGATTGGAACTGTTCACCGGCAGCGAATTGTCTATGTCCGATGTGGGATCAGAATGGTGAACGCCGCGGCGGCGACGCACCAAATGGTGGGCTTGTTCCTGATTTCAGGAATCGTCCATTTTCGGGATATCGGGAAACTTGAACAACTCCATGAATATTAGAGATGTCTCTGTTCCCGCTCAGATTGCCGACACTAGCCTCTGGAATTGGCAGAACCCAGATGCGAATTTGGATCCGGAAGACATCGCTCACCTGGAAATTGGGGAGCTTCAATGTGCCAGTAGGAGACGGAGTGAACCAGTTGGGGCAAATCGGGTACAGCCAGGAGCAGCTCTACTCGTCTTCCTCGCTGCTGCCCAATACTCCGGCGACGGTGCTCTGGATAAACGTTACCCGCAGGTGGCTTCATCTCGCCGCCGCTGCTGTACAGGTCAGAAACAAACACGTTTCACAAAAACACCCCTGGTTTTAAGTAGTCTCTCATTTCAGCCCCTGTAATTTGGAAAAAAGAAGGAAATGGGTTTAATTCAAGCGCCACCAAGAAACAGAGTAGGAAGTAAAAAAAACAGAGTATGTTTGAAACAGGGGATGGAGCTAGAGCAGTGCGTGAACTCAACGACGTGCCTCGACGTGAAGCCGAAGGCGGTAATCGGGCTGAGAGGCTCCACCTCCAACATCTTCGTGGACAACAAAGCTTACAGAGACTTCTCTTCGAGACTTTCAAGGTTTCTTCCGTGGACATGGAGAGCTTTGTTGTTGTCATGGTATGTATAATTAACAATACTCTTCTCCGCTTCCTTAGCTCGTCATCATTCCGATGAACTCTCATGATCATGTCGATGCAGACGTGTTTGTCAAATGGGCAATTGGTAATCGTGATAAGGGGGGTGTCGGATTTGGCTGGCAAGCAATCGGGGCACAATCCGATTCGGACTTTCGGCAGCCTTCCTGCTCTCAACACTGCCAACGTTGTTCTGAAGTTCATCTCGAAGCTGAGAGGACGATCCTTTGTTGGATCAATTTTGGGCACGCCGCGGCAAGCAATTTCATTAATCAGCCGAATTTCTCGGAGTTTCCAGCGGCGGCGGAGAACGAACGGGTGGAGAAGCTGGTTATGGAGGACGAGGATTCATCGGAGACGGAGTACGAGGAAGAGGAAAATGACAAGGTCGCTTTGGTGGCTGCTGATGGTGGCGGCGGTGGTGGTGAGAGCGGCAACGACGACGGGGAGGTGGTGGTGGAGGAGGGAGCTACTCTTTCAATTTGTGATTATAATAATTTTTTTAATTTTTTTAATTTTTTTATTTTACTTTACTTTATTGTGAAAATGAGTTGGAAATGGTGGAAGATTAAAATTTATTTTATTTATTATTTTTTAATTGCCACGTCACCGAGTTAACGGTCAACTTTGAGGGTTGACTGCCACATCAGACATATTTAACGGAGTTGGACGGAGAGTGACCAAACTTGAACCATTTAACTAATTTGAGTGACCAAGATTAGATTTAAATATTTTCAGTGACCAAACATGAACGTTTTTTGTAATCTCAGTGACCAACCATGCAATTAACCCAAATATTTTTTAATATAAAGAATTGACACTTGGTGGGGCTGGTATGAGTATAAAGCGGGAGAGTCTAAAACCATACTCGTTCTCCTTAATACATTCATAACACAACTCCAATACCACTTTCAAATCAACTTGACCAACCATTCCCAAATTCTTCATATAAATATAAAAAAATATTGTCACATATTATTCATATAATAAAGCAACGGTTTTCTAAGCAACGACTGATCGCATCGAAGAAGAACGAGGAATAAGCTGCTCTTCGCATTCATCACCTGAATATTCTTCTCCCTCTTTTGCACGAACAACTGTTGATGGGCGTCCCCTCGCCTCCATCCTTTGTCGAGAAGAAAATCGCATCCTCCTCCCTTCACGTAGTGGTGGGCATCCGATTCAGGTTTGATTTTTTTGAACCGAACCAAACCAAAAGTGAATTGCCGAAACTCAAATAATCGGATCAGAATTCAGAAGAGAAATAGACGTAATTCGATAATTAGAATCTCATATACCGTACCAGATTTCGAATTACGAAACCGATCGAACAACCGAAAAATATGCCCAACCCACTCCCACATATCTCATAGCCCACATCTCCCACAGAGCCCACATATCTCCTAGCCCAAAACCAAAGCCCGAAATCTACTAAAATTTACAACCTTATCCACCTAGTGAATGCTGCTGCTAAGTGTTGCTAACTAGTACCCTTCATACTATAGCATTATTAAGATATCGGCCACCAGCCCATTAATCAAATCATCAAAAAGCCCATCCTCAATCCCCAAGCCCACTTCCTTTCCTTCTCCTCCTCTTCCCAATTTGCTCCAATTTCCTTCCTTGTCCATGGCCTGAATGCAAGCATCCCTCTTCTTGCTTCCACCAACTGATTCATTCATCCAATTAATCACCTCTCCTCTATCCTCATCAATCCAAGCCCTCGCTTTGGCGATCACCATCTCCTCCTCCTCCTCCTCCTCTTCTTTTTCTGCACCACCGTTAAAAATCGCAATTTTCCCGCCATCTTGCTTCCACGCCTTGTTCTCTCTGCTGCTCATCGCCATTAATTCGTCCATGAAGAAATCCAACAGCAGTTGCTCTTCATGAGACCGCCAGTGCTTCCCACTGCTAGCGCGGACGCGATCCAGCAATTGCCACGCCTTGTGGAAAATTCCCTCTTCTTCTTCATAACTTGCAGCAGATGTGGCGTCCTCGGTCTTGTGATCTTCTTCTGGGCTGCTGCTGCTGGTGGTTTCACTTCGATCGTCGGCGGATGCAATCCAGGTGACGTCATCGTCACTTGCTGGTTCCTGTTTAGTGAAATTAATTTCGGGATTAATTAACTGAACAAATTACAACTTACATACAGTAAAAAAATGACATTTACACAGCTGGGCCCGATTTGAAAAGGTCAACTAAAGAGCACCCAGCTACACGACAAACCTCCACCGTGCGATTATAAATTATAAGAAAACAGTAAAATCTCACCGACAGACACACCAAAATTAATCAAAGATGCGGATGTACCATATAATAATTAATTAATACGATACTACTAGAATATAATAATAATAATAATAATAATAATAATAATAATAGCAGAATGGGCCTCACCGCAGGCTGGCCCACTCCTTCGGCCCATTTGGCGTTTTCCCCTGCTGTCTCTTCCGCAAAATTCCCGCCGCCGACACCCGGTAAGAAGTTGCCCAACTTCTTACCACTGAAATCCCCCGATTCACCCTGCCACCACCACTCGGAGCTGAAATCGCTGTCGCACCAGCTCGATCCCTTGCTGCCGCTGCTCGACGCCGTCTCCGTAGTGTCGTCGATGGAGCAGTGAGGAGTACTTAATTCGCGCGCTTCCTCTTCCTCCTGCTGCAGGTCGCGGAAAGATTTCCACCGTATGATGTCTTTGACCGTGACGGCAATTCTCACCGACGCGATGTGGAAACTGTCCTGTTTCGTGCTGATCTTGCTGCTGGTTTTCCTGGACAGCAGCCTGCGGGAGAGGCTTCGGGGCAGAATTGAGGGAGGATTTTTCACGAATTGGATGCTCTTCACGGCATTGATCATGGCGCGAAGCGCCGAGACGGTCGATTTGGATGTTTGAGGTGTGAGTATCTTTTTAGGTGCGTTAGGCTGTTTCCTGGGGAAAGATTTGAACCCCGAAGAGGAGGAGCAGGTGATGGAATCCTCGAGTAGGAAATCTTTGAGCAGTGTTGGAGGGCGTCTGCCCTCATTGGCTAGTGGGAATTGCTTCCTGCAGGTCAAGTGTTTGACAAAATGCTTGCCCCTAGAACCCGGGTTATAGTCCTCGGAACAACCCATGTTTGTGGAAGAGGCAATCTGGGTTCGTGGGAAAGATTGAGGGCTCAAAAGGGTTTTGATGGATGTATGAGGGAAATGAAGTATTGAAGTTACTTGGTGTTTGATGGAGGAACTCAGTGAAGTGTAGTGGAGTGGGGAAGAGGGGATTTATAAAGGGAGAAATGGGTCGGGGAGAAGAAAGAGGGAGGTAACTTCGATTTGGGATCTCCAGGTAAGTAGCTCGTGCGGGTAGGAGAGTAGTGAGTTTTTTACTAGCATGAAGGCAAAGGAACAGTAGGTTAGGAGAAGAAGAAGTGTCGAGGATGGTTCTCTCCTCTGGGATGCCAGAACAGGACAAATGTTTTGCTGATTAAGAGGAAGGGACACGGGGAGACAAGAAGGCAATAAAATATATGTTATGGACAGTGCGGGCGGTTGAGTTAGTACGTACTGGGTTTTGAAGGGTATGTCGTGTGACTGCTTTTGACTTAGAATGCATCTGAGTTAATGGCTACTACTACTAAATCTTTGCTGATTGCATTAGTGCAAGATCACGACTAGCTAGCTTGTTCATGAGCAGAATACATAAGTCTCTATCTCTGTGCTGGTCTGGCTCTGTAGCAGCATGCAAGTGGGTTTATAATAATGTTGGATGGAGATTTCCCCATTTGGGTTAAGATACTCCATTCCTATTTGGTGTTCGGTGATATCGATTGAGCAGGAAGATGGATCTGCTGAGCTAGGTTTAAGGATTTGGAGGATCTACCTGAAACATGAAGAGATCAAATGGGCAGGCTTTAGTTGATGGGTAATGAGAGGAGTTGTAGCAGCAAGTTAAGCCGGGGGAGAGAGAGCTGTAGCAATGGGGTATGGGGAAACATAATCAAAAGATACGGATCCGGTGACAAAATCGTTTCTGTGTTGATTTTCCTGGATGGATCAGAAGATGAGTTATGCATGAAGATTGGTGGTGGTACGAAATCCAGACCAAGTGGGAGGCATCTTTCCTCTTTTTTTCGTTCTGTTTTTTCATTTTTATTTCAGTATAATACTATTATATTATGGCTTCCATTTCTTGTGGGCTGGGAGCTGCTGAATTGAGGCAAGCAGACCGCAGTCAGAATTACCCACTGCTGCTTGTTTTGTTTGCTAGTGGTGACTGTGAGTCCTTGCTTGATTACTCTATAGTGTCTAACTGTCTATACTGTGCAAACTGAGAAGCGTGGCCAGAAGAAAGGACAGAGTGTAAAAAAAACCATAAAAAATGGATAATCGTCGACAGCAGGGTTCGAACCTGCGCGGGCGTAGCCCAACAGATTTCAAGTCTGTCTCCTTAACCACTCGGACATATCGACCTTCGCTGCTAATAAATTGAATAAACTATAATCATACTTTTATCAGTTCTATAGAGGCCCATTAAGAGGAAAATAGCTAAAAGGGCCCACTTGATCTGGGGAGCCCAACCATTTAGTAAGGCCGTCTATATAAGGGCCCATATGTTAATACGAATTACGCGGCCTAGGAAACCGTGATGACGGAACTTCTTCCTCTTCGCATGGTAAAGGAAACAGTACCGGACATTATACCGGATTCCTTTCTGGTATGGTATTTTATGGTACGACCGTGGTTCAACCATTTTGTACCGGTAAATATCGTTTTTCACTATTGATAGAGAAATGAAATGCGATACTATAAAAAATATAATCCATAAAAAAAAGAACCAAATAGAGCATTATACAACCACGGTGACCCATTTTCAACATAGAAAAATAGCAAAATAATATTCTTTTTAATTATTTTCCACATATTGGACGAGAATACGGAGAAATGAAGCTGAATCATAGACCAGGAAACCGGATCATACCGGCCGGTTCAACCGGTCAAACCGAAAAAACCGGCCGGCAAGGTAAAGTAAGCACAATAAGCCCACCGTACCGCTTTTGGTCCAATTTCCGGTTGAACCGGCCGGTACGATCCGGTTTCCTGGTCTATGCTTCTTCGTCTTCCTGCGCACGGACCCGGCGGCAGGTAACTAGGGATGGCAATGGGTCGGGTCGGGGGCGGATAGTGCATATCCGTTACCCTACCCAAAGTAGTTCGGGTTTTACCCATACCCATACCCACATGTGAAACGGGTAGAAAATCAAAACCATACCCATACCCGTTCGGGTTTCGGGTATCCACGGTTATCCATGGGTAATCATTTCTCTTCATAACTTCAACCAATATGTTAACATTCACACGAATTCTCACATTACGTAAGAGGAAAAGTACGACAATAATTCACTAGAATGAAGAAAATTAATTAAAACAACACAATTTCATGAAAATATTATACTTATATGCTAAATATAAAATATGTTAAAGAGAAAAATAATGATTATATCTAGAGAAAATACATATGCATTTGTATAATCGGGCGGGTTCGGGTTGGATAGTGAGAAATCCATGCCCGCCCATTATCCACAATATTCGGGTTCGGGTTTTACCCGTACCCACTAAATGTCTTTCGGGTTCGGGTTTTACCCTACCCGATTAGGCCGGATTCGGGTGGATATCCACGGTTACGGATATTTTTGCCATCCCTACAGGTAACGGTAAAATAGGGAAAATCAGAATCTTCTCCATCACTCTGCTGCTTCTTTTTCCCAACTGTGAAGAAGAGTAAACCAGAGAAGTGAGGGTTTGGAAAATGGGCGTCGGAGGCAAATTCTGGGACTTGCTAAAGCCCTACGCCAAACACGAAGACCCTGATTTCCTGAGGGACAAACGAGTCGCTGTTGATCTTTCTTACTGGATCGTCCAAAACGAGACCGCCATCAAGACCTACGTCCTCAACCCTCACCTCCGCCTTACTTTCTTCCGGACCCTCAACCTCTTCTCCAAGGTCTCTCTCCTCTTTCCTTTTTCCCTTTTTCCCCCACGGGAGCATATTCTTTAGATGGGTGTTTCTCATTTTCGATTGAAAATTGTGGGTACATTGCAGTTCGGCGCTTTCCCGGTGTTTGTTGCCGATGGGACTCCTTCGCCGTTGAAGTCTCAGGCGAGGATAGCCCGATTCTTCAGATGCTCGGGAGTTGATGCTGCCCGTTGGCCGGTGGCTGAAGAAGGTGTCTCCGTGGAGAGAAACGGGGCGTTTTTGAAGTGTGTTCGGGAGTGCATTGTGAGCTCTTCTAACTTTCATTGTCTTTAACTGCTTCCCCTTTTATCTTCTATCTTGCTGAAGTTCTGTTTGCTTTCTAGCTTATAAAAGGGATCTTTCGGGTTTTCTCTAGGAATTGCTTGAACTCTTTGGGATGCCGGTTCTTCGAGCCAAGGGCGAGGCTGAAGCGTTGTGTGCCCAGCTGAATCGGGAGGGTCATGTAGATGCCTGTATCACTGCTGATAGTGATGCTTTCCTCTTTGGTGCTCAGTGCGTGATTAAATCCATCAAACCCAATTCTAAAGTGAGTTTTAGTAATTTCTTTCGTTTTGGAATTTTTGTGTATATGACAAACAATTCTGCGCAGTTAGCTAGAAAAATTCGTAATATCGGAATCTTTGTGCAGGAGCCATTTGAGTGTTATCATATGTCAGATATTGAAGCTGGTCTTGGGTTAAAGAGGGAACATCTAATAGCCATTTCTCTCTTGGTTGGAAATGATCATGATCTTAGAGGAGTTCAAGGGATTGGAATTGATAATGCTCTTCGGTTTGTTCAAAGTTTTGGTGAAGAAGAGATATTAGATAAGTAAGATTCTGGCCACTACTAAATGCCATATATGTTTTAGTCCTTCCAAGGTTACTTTCACATTTTGTGTTATATGCTAGAGTGCCTTATGCATGGCTTCTTTTACTCTGTAGATTGCATGATATTGGCAGTGGGAAGGCTCCTTTTCCTCAGGGTGGTCCAAAAGTCGTAGGCAGTCCCATGCTTCTTGCAGATGACAGCTCACCAAAGTTGAGACCTGCTCACTGCTCAGTTTGTGGCCATCCTGGCAGCAAGAGAGCACATTCAAAGTCATCTTGTCAGGATTGTCATCCCAGTGGCGGTAAAGGCTGCATGAAAAAGCCGAATGGATTTAGGTGCAAATGCACTTGCTGTGATAGAGTATGTATGACCATTTCGTTCATGTTGCTTTATCATCTCATGTTTTTGCAGGCTATCTAATGTGCATCAAATCCTAGTGGGTCTGACAATCACTTGTGAACTTTGACTTGGCAGGAGAGAGAGGCAAGGCAGCTGAAAAGGCATGAAAACTGGTACACGAAAGTATGTGAGAAGATAGCCAGGGAGCAGAATTTCCCAAACGATGAAATAATTGAGATGTATTTGTGCAATGATAACGGAAACATCACTGGTAAACCTTCTGGTCAAAAAAATAATTGTTATTCTCCTTCATTTCTGTCATCATAGTGTTAAACTGACACTAAAAAGATGTAACAAAACTTTTTGAGTATGATTCTCTGGACTATGTAGAGTTTTATCATTTCATGTTGCTTTCTCTGGCCTGTGTTTTAGCAGGCAGTCAAGGCACCCTGCTTCGGTTCCTTAAGTAGGATAAGAATTATGCTTTTTCCATAGCTTGAATAATGCTGTAATCTTGGATATTCCTTTTTCTTTTGTGTAAACCAGATGGTGGTTCCTGTATTTCATGGCAGCAGCCTGAAACTGACATGTTGGTTGACCTTTTGGTGTTTCGACAGCATTGGGAACCCTCTTATATCAGACAGAGGTTGCTTCCTATGCTGTCCACCATCTACCTGAGAGAAATGGCACAACAGACAGAGAAGAATTCTATGTTGAATGGGCAATATGAATTTGATTCAATTCAGCGCATAAAGATCAGGTACGGACACAAAGCTTTGGTTGTGAAGTGGAGGAGAGGAGGAAGCTCAATTGGCAGTGACCGCAATTTGTGTCTTGTTGATGATAAAGACCAAAAAAAGATTGTGGAGATTGTTGATGAGAGTTCTGATGACTCGGAAGAATGGGAAGAAACTGGGGTTCATGTTGATAATGAGGGTCAGTTTGTCCTGACAGATGAACATATGGAACTTGTCCGTGGTGCATTTCCCGGCGAAGTTAGTAAATTCTTATTGGAAAAGGTTTGATTCTTTCACCAATCTCTGTTCCAAGCCAATTGGAAATTTATTCATTAATGTTACTCTAATTTTGTACCGTCACTTTCTGAGAGTCAACCACTGGCTCTGGATGCTTGCAAGGTTTAATAAAGGCAGGGTACATTTATGAATTATAAATAGAATGTAAAGAATCAGGATGGGAATTGCATCAATAACCTCTTATTTGGGGTACTTTTGCACACGTATATCCACTTGTCTCTGAAATAGGGTCATATTATTGTTTTGAGTTCAATAAGTTAACATTGTAATCAGGCCATGTAGTAAAGAATAACAACCAAGTTGTTAGGTCTTTGGATCGTACGCTTTGTTGTATCTGGATGCTTTCAATTCTTCTTAATGTGTTGTTTTCTACTGACAAATGGCAGGAACTTAAAGAATCCAAGAGAAAGCGTTCTAGAACAGGAGGATCCGGTAATAAGTCAGAAAACCTGAAGTCGAGAGGTGTCCAACTTTCTATTACTGAATTTTATCGGTCCAGCAAAATGCAAGTTTCTGCTAATCAAGGAGACACAGCCAATCGTTCTGAAAGTCATGACAAGGAAATCAAGAACACCTCCACATCACCTCTTCCAAAGTCAGTTAGACGCCGCCTTCTGTTTAAGTAGGATATGAAAAAGTTGTAATGTAAAGCTGCTTTTAACTTTTAGTCTCAGAATGACATTTCTCGATGTAGATAAGCTGAGCATTAACATTTCATCTGACTCTAGAGTAGCTTAAGGGGCTTTTTGTGAGCAGTGGAGTAGAGTAGCCTTCTCCGTGGTGTAAAGTGTAGTTGGTCCTTTTGTAATTTATAAATACTTCAAAGTTTGGTCTACTAGTGCAATTTAAAGCCATATACTCAATCACTACATGCCTTTCCTTTGCAATGGGCAGTATCTTTCTCCTTCAGTGCTTCAATAGTGAATAACAGATGATTAGCTCATCAGAACTTGACACTGCTTCTTCACAATGTACCGACAGAGATCTAGATATTGTAGCAAGGTACTAGCTTTCCTGTGCTCTTACAAGTTTTGAAAGAACGGATCATGTGTAACTAACAAGACAACATTTTTACCTAATGTTTTTTACAGGCTGGCTATGGTGTGCTATTCTATAGTCAAGGAAAATGAAGTACAAGTTGGAATGGGGTTACTTTGAACAGATATTGAGATTCGGTGCCATTGCCTCTCGGATTTGAAATCATCAGTAATCTTATGTAAACCAATCCCATCTGATTCCTGATTTTCCATGTGTAGGTGTCTGACTATGAAGGCTGGTCATAGCAAAGTAGTACCTCTGCTTCAAGTGTAAACAATGCTGAATTCTAGCCAGTTATGTTTCGTAAGTATAAGCGCTAACTATGGTACACTGTCAAATATTCTTGTGTGGATGACCTGGTCTCTTTCCAGTCTGCTTTTTATGGCAGTCATGTTTAAGACTTTGAATGTTAATTATGCTTTGACTTTGACTCTGTTAATTTAGGTCTTACACGAAGTATTTGTTAAGATGGGGTAGTTGAATAGCTTACTCTTAGACCAAAAGTGCTAGACTTGATAAAAAAACTGCGTGAAGAGTACGAGGTATGGAGTGGGTCTGCTTACCTGCTGATTGTTGATTCATTCTTGCTATTCTGGCCCGGTGGTCTATTCCAGTGATATTCTACTCTGAAATCAACCTTCACTCTCTCTTGGCAGGAAATTGTTCCTGCAGACTGTCTATCCTCGTTGAAAGATCTTGAAAGATCTTGGGTATCGGCATCTAAAGGAGCAAGCATCTATTTTCTTCTCTCAGTATAAGGGACTCTGTTTGCAAACCAGTATCCGCTTGAACCAATCATATTTCCCCCCAATTTTGTAATTTTTATTACAACGATCATGATCTATGAGAATGATTTTTCAACTGAAACTAATGAAACTGCTGAGGATTATTCCTTAGGTGTCAGCATCTTGTTACTAGATTGCGATTCTGTGTGTTCGACGATTCTCTCCAAAATGCTTCGTGCCTCTGGCTATACAGGTATTCCATCATGACTTTGTGCAAAGTTAGTTTCTTTCTTCTGTCAGCTACATTAGTTCTTTTTTATCTGATTGATTGTTATCAAATTGAAGTCTCAAAATTGGGACTTCGAATTCACACATCCAGAATTCACTCTGCCACTCTCTCTTGCAGTTATAATACCACCAAGCAAAGCCAAAGTTGCGTCTAACATTTCCACGTGGTGATGATATTTGTGATATTTTGTGTTTAGGGTTTTTTCCCTGTTGGTAATCTCTAAACACTTGTGTGACTCTGGCATCTTAATGTTGAGTTCCAACTTCCAAGTACTGCTTTTTACTTCGCAGTTACAACTGCTAAGTTAGCCAAGGAGGCACTCTACATCCTGCAGCACAGACAAGGTGAAATTGATCTGGTCCTTACAGAGTTGTACTTGCCTGACATGGGCAAATATGAGCTTCTGGAGACGATAAGGGAAATATCTACATTGCCAGTTGTGGGTTAGTGAATGAATAGCCCATCGATGTCCCATCATCTATTTTTATTTGTTTCATTTTTTTTTCTTTTTCTCAGGCATATGATTTAAAACTGAACATTTGTGGCTCCTGCAATCTTGTAGTATTGTCCTCCGACATCAGCGAGAATGTGATGCTAGGCTGCCTATTCAAAGGTGCAGCATTTTACATTCCCAAACCTGTCATTATGCAAGACATCAAAAACCTGTGGCAGTTCTCTTTTATGACGAGACAAAACTCCCTGAAGAAGCTTGGAAGAAGAACGAGTAAGTGTCCGGAGATGCCTCTCTATGAGAATAATGCCAGAGAGTGCAAGAGAAAAGAGGCGGAATGGACTGAAAGCAGCAAGGATTGTAAAGATTATTGTATGCCACAGCCAAAGAAGTCTAAGATTATCTGGACCCCAGAGCTACATGCCAAGTTCCTGCGTGCCGTCAATCTACTAGGAGTTGATCGTAAGACTTCACTTCCTACATATATACTCTGAAATTGTCATTTCTATGTTGTTTTACTAGGCAGCTGAGCCAACTCGACTTGTAGATGCCAGACCAAAGAAGATACTTGAGTACATGAAAGTGCCAGAGCTGAGCAAAGCCAATATCTCAAGCCATTTACAGGTTTAGGTTATCATCTCCAAAAGAAATTTCTATCTTCCAGAACAGCCTTTTATAAAAAAAAACATATGCAGTTTGAGAACTGACGCGAAAATTTTCTGCAGAAGCACCGTCTCTCTTTAACGAGACTGCGTGAGGAGCTCGAAATGGCAGTGCTTCGAGGTAACAACGCTGCTTCGCCACATTTCCGCCTACTGGAGGGAAGAAGTTTGTCTTCTTCCCCGGTGTCCTTGACAAGGATAGCAGCAGCAGCATCAACATGCAAAACACCAACATTTCACAACAATACAAGAAGTACGCCCATCTTGGGATGTTCCTTCGGCTCCCACCATCTTACTGCTCAAGTGGATCCGTCAAGTCAGATAATATCCCCTCGACCTGGGTTGAACAGCGTTTCTCTGGGCTCAACAACATTGCAGCTTCGGCAGGAATATCTGCAGCCACAGCAGCAGGCTCAACAACCTGCGGAAGACTCTGAACTGGAGCAAATATTGTTAGCTTCAGTTGAAGACTTCCTTCTAGATGATCAGCCTGTAAATTGACCGTGAAACAGGGGCTATATACTAGTCAGAACTCTAAGAACTATATTGCTGGAATGGCATTGTTAGTATTGTGGTTGGGTTATCTATTTGCAACTAAAATTGAAATCTTGTGCAAGCCTCTTTTCCATTTTCTTTTCAATCTTATAGTAAAATTAGAATTTGACAAATGGATTGGTGGATCCAAGGATCATATGGATTGGTGGATTGATCAATAAATCTAAAAGACATTCAAGGCTTGGATCATTTTGTAAATTTTGAAAAGTTTAGGTACCAAAATGCCATAATGAAAAAAGATGCCTTTTGAAAAAAGATTGGGTGAAGAACGGAGGAGTCTACATCTTTCCCACAAAGGAAAGGAGATCATACTTAAATTGGTGATCCAGGCCTATCCCTTCCTATATCATGTGTCTGCTTCTGCTCTCAGTTTTCCTCATAAAGAATATGGATTATTTGTTCGCGAACAAGAACTTGGTTTAGTGGTAGTACCACTATTCTTGAAACTGGAGGTTCCAAGTTCGCATCCCTCAAATAGCACCTTATAATGAAAACAAAATTTTATATCACCTTTATATAAAAAAATATGAATTCTCTACTCATCAATTTCTTCTGGTCGGGATCAATGCAAAAGAGTAGTCTTCATTGGTGGAGGAAGGAAATCTTATGTTCCCCCAATACGGAGGCATGCTTGGGGTTTTGGTAGTTTAACAGATTCCAATATGGCCATCTTGACAAAACAAGCTTGGCACGTGCCAACGGGTTAGAGAACCAGGAACTAGGATTTCATAGTGATAAATATCTTCACTAAGAAAATCTCCAAATGTTTTAATCCACTTACCAACGGGTTAAGTCAAATATTAAAATGATAGATTGATATATATTATATAAGATAGTGAACTGATTGCCTTGGTTCAAATTTATTGAATGGGTCATGAGGTTATGTAGCTTTTTATGGGACAATAATTTTATCATAAATATAAGATAAATTTCATTTCAGTTATTAAAATTTTAAATTATAATATTTTATTTATATATGTATTTTGAAAATGTATAAAACGATTCAAATAAAACTAAACTTATCCTTCGAACCACCTACTTATCGGTTCAATAACTTAAACTAGTTTGACAACACTTGGCAAGTTGAGAGAGCTTATTGGTGTTAACTGTTTAGGTTCTTTTTGTTTAGATAATATTCAGCCGGAGAGTTCCCCGCGAAATTGCATTGCATCGCAGCAGTCCGAGGAAAAAGCAAGAAATGAGCAGCTGGGCGCCTCATCTGCCGTCGTCTCTGCAACCAATTCTTCAACCTTGCCTGCCGGAGCTCCGGCGTAGAGTCCCGCGGCCGAGACCCTGGCTATCTCCGCGCGATAATGGCACCGACAGCGTGGGGAGCAAAAGGGCAGACGTGAAATGCGCTCGCGCTTCACAAAAGAGCCCGGATGATTATCACGCCACGCTTAGAGCTCTAAATTCCAGAGGCCGCAAACCAAGGAAGTCACTTGGCCAGGTCTGTTCGGCCTTTAACTCGGCTATTCGAATTTTTTTTTTCCAGTTAGACGCAGAAATTCGCTGGCTTCTCTGCGGGGCATTTCTTCGAACAGTTAGTAGGCGTAATTGAATGTTATTTTTGCAGCATTACATGTTGAACTCTGAAATCAACGACCAACTAGCTGGTGCGGCTAATGTGGGGGAAGGGGATGTGGTGCTGGAAATTGGACCTGGGACTGGTTCTTTGACTAACGTTCTCATTTCCTCCGGCGCCACCGTCCTGGCCGTTGAGAAAGTAACTGCGTGTTGCCTCCCCTTAACCTTTAGCTCAAACCAGCTGTGTCCATTTTGTTCTTACCTAGTGCGATATTTTTGGCTGTGCACAGGATCCTTACATGGCTGCTCTGGTTGAAGAAAGATTTGCTGATACTGGACGCTTAAAGGTGAGAGTCACCTTCAGAATTGAGATGGTAACTTACTGTTAGAGCTTTATTCCTTTCATTCCCTCTTGCCTAGGTTGTGGAAGAGGACTTCGTCAAGTGTCACATTGGTTCCCACATTTCCCTGCTCCTAGAAAGTTTAAGGGATTCAGGTGCCAAGCCCAGATTTGCAAAAGTAAGAAAGAATCCCCTCCTTTTATGGTTTGGTTTATCTAGGATCCTTTCTTGAAGAGTGATCATAGTTTTGTTTCTTTAGACGAATGGGGTTCCTTTTACAATCTTTGAGGTTTCGTATAACCTCATCAGATGATCAGCTATGCTTTTCTCATTGCTTTTTCTATTGGGATATTCTCTAGGTGGTTTCTAATATACCGTTCAACATAAGCAAGGATGTAGTAAAGCAGCTGCTTCCCATGGGCGACATTTTCTCGGAAGTTGTTCTTTTGCTGCAGGCCGGTAACAAATCCCTCCATGTTTTCTTCTCTTGATGGTTTGTCTGTGGTTTCATAGGACTTGTGGGTTTTTTCCTCTGTATCTTTTTTGCTGATCATAGATATGTGGAAATCAGTGCACTGTTTGACGAGGATTGATAGTATGTTTTCAGGAAGAAACAGCAGTGCGGCTGGTTGGCTCATCAGCACGAACATCTGAATATCGACCCATCAATCTCTTCGTCAACTTCTACTCAGGCAAATAATGCTGAAGGACTTCAATTTCCCATTTAGTTATTACTGGCCCAACCCCATCTGATCCGTTCCGCATTTTCAGATCCTGAGTACAAATTTGATGTCCCAAGGTCCAGTTTCTTCCCTCAGCCGAATGTAAGTTACCGAGTTTCTCTATTTCGAATTCACATCAGTCAGATCACAAGAAAAACAAGTTTTCAAGGCACATTGTTTCACGTGATGATCAAATTTCATCACCAGGTTGATGCAGCAGTGGTCACCTTTAAGCTGAAAAAAAGTGCAGATTATCCAGCAGTTTGTTCCACCAAAAGTTTCTTCTCATTGGTAATAGATTTATCCTCTAACCTGCGATTACTCTGTCTCTTTGCCGTTTCATAGTTCACAACAAAAACTGAGAGACATTGATTTTTGGGGATGGAAAATTAGGTGAATTCTGCCTTCAATGGGAAAAGGAAGATGTTAAGGAATACACTTCAGCACATATGCACCCCCCTGGAGATCGAAACGGCTCTTCAGCATGTTGGTCTACCAGCTACTGTAAGTAAACTGCCCCTGCCACTGGCAACAGTTGTTGTTTCGAGTCTTGTTTAGCCTATTATGGTTTCTCTTGTTTTTTGAAACATTTTATCATCCTTGTGCAGTCAAGACCAGAGGAACTAACGTTGGATGATTTTGTGAAGCTGCATAACTTGCTAGTGAGGCCATAGAGGCTAGAGCTGCAATAAACTGAAAACACTCGCGACCGACACTGCAGGATGTCTAACGTATAATAACACTGGGCAAGAACGGTGGCAGATTCCAAATGTTGAATGCATCTATCTCACTCATGTCATTACAGCATTACAAAGAAGAAAGCAACGACAGACATGGGATTTGAGAAGCAAGCAGTTAACTTACTTATAGCGGGCAGGGATCATTGAACTTCGAATTTTATAGTGTATACAGCAAATTCAGAGAGAGCATGTTCATTGAAATATCTCTTTCAGAATGAAGAACAGTCTGTCTGTATTTCTGGTCTTCTCAGGCGTGGAACTGATCGATGAGGTCCAAAGCTCTCAATCGGGTCCCTAAAGGATCGTAACCCTTGATTCTTCCGGCTGCATACCCATCCTCGCCCAACCTCCGCTCCTCCGCCATGGCCGCGGCAGATGGTGAGAGCGGCCGCTTAGGCCTCTTGTTCTTGATGAAACACTCTCTCAACCTCTCCTCCACCTTGTCGATTGCAGCAGGCATGGAATTGCCTTCCTCCTCCCCAACCTGCATCGGCTCGCTCCCGTTGTCTTCACCAGCTCCCGTGGCGGAGGAGACGGAGTTCTCCTCCGCCTGCGGTGGCGACAGGGGCAGTCGGGAGTGGGAAAGGAGGAAGGAAGAGAGATGGTGTTGGGCGAGGTGGAGGGCTGAGTAGATATGTTGTAGTTGACCTGGGTCGGACGTGGAAGGGAGCTGCTTTGCCAACAGCGTCGCTTGCTCTAAGGATGTTACGAGGTTCGGCAACGGCGGCGCCGGCGGCGGTGGTGTTGCATCTGCTGCCGTCATCTCATCCATTCTCCTGCCTTATGTTTATGAGCACAAGGAATGTGTGGAGGCGGACAGAGCGGCCTTCTCTTTTGCGTTCCGTGGCCCCCTTCGTACTTAACCGGCGACTGACTTCCTCTCGCGGCGGCCGGCGGAAGGTGAGGGCGTCTCTGGAATATTTGCGTGTTGTTTGTTTGGGAATCTGTCTGCCTGTCGAGTGTCGACTCGAAACTTTCTGCCGCTGCCGCCGCTGTGGCGTTGGCGAATGGCGTATGATTCAATTGACTATTTGACTTCATTCCTCTTCCTTTTCGATAAAGTACCACTTCGGTACCTTGAAACTAAAAACTACCAACCTCAGTCAGTCCTTTTATGCAACCTAATAATTTACAATCCTAGACATTTTTATTAAGTCAAGATTCAAGAACATAATATCATAAACCTTCCTCTTTGTTATAGCTTGTAGTCATAGGTTTCTGCCTGATATTGCGCAACAGAATGTGTAGATACGAATATATACAGGATCTAAACGGATTGAACTAAAAAAGTAAATCGCGTTGATTAATAAGATGTTGAGCCAACGAAAAAAGGGTATTTTTCGTCAAGATATGGACAGTCATGTTGTACCTTTGATGGTTGTCTCCTTCTGCTTGATCTTTTTATACTCACGCAGAACTAGCTTAAGTTTCTCGTTTGAATTCTTCAAAGTAGTGATCTTTTTCAGTTGTGGCATGACACTCTGTTCTTCTCCTATAGGTTCTATAAGATAATGAATGGTTTGGGATAGTGAGTGGCTTCTTCAAAGATGGCATTACTCTCTGCCAAGGGTATGTCATCGTCTTTGTCCTTCTTCATGGCAAGAGATGTCGCCATCACGTGGGCAGAAGTAGGCATTGGTGGTAACCTAAGAGTCACCCTCTCTTCTTTTAGGGTGTCGGGCTTCCTTTTCCTTCCTTGATTGTATGCTCCTTCTTTGTTCTCCACCATCTCACAAGGATGGGTCTTCACAACTTCTTCTTGCAAATCTTCTTAGCAAAGGCTCCAACAAGTTGTGCTACACATATTTGGTGTTGTTCTTTGTGAGTAGATGTGAGAGACAAAGAAGAGGGGTTTGCATCCCTTTTATAGATGTGCATAAGCCGCTACCCTTTTTCTTCTTGGAGACAACCTCGTTAGAGTTCCTTTCTGAGAAGGACAAGGAAAAATTGGGGTGGCATGAAGCTTTTTCGGCGGCCGTAGCATGGTGGGTCTGACATCCTTGACTTTCTCCCTCTCCTTTTCGGATTTGCTCTCCTTTTCCTTGTAGGATACTTCGTTCATCAGACCGTTGTGCTCCTTTCTTCATATTTCCTTTTATTTTTCCATGAGTTTGAAAATAAAACAAAAATGATAAAAGTAACAAAACCGAGAGAGAGAGAGCAAATCCTTTTCCTCCTCAAAATAAATAAAAAAAAAACAATTCATCAATTTGTCTCACAACTGTCTTTATGTAGGCATCTCTTAAAAAATAATTCAAAATTTGGGTTCACCACACACTTTATGCATTTACTATCATCGAGATAATATCCTAGAAGCAATATCCTAGAAGCAGTGCATGATAGGGTAGCAAATATGATGAGCCAAAAGAGATGAATGACCTAAAGCATAAATGAATTATGCATAGTAGATTAGTGTGCAACTTGATATAAAATACCTTTTAAACTAAAATGCAAATACAATTTTTAAAGGTTTCTAGCACATAATACATCACTTCAGATAATCCATCAAATTCTCCGAACAACATGTCATTGGTAAAATTTGAATTTGTTTAACACAAGTAGAATTATAAAATTCCAGTTTAAACGAAATCAATGCCTCTTGAATCAATCTAGGAATAGTGGGTACTTACCGAGAAGTTTTGAATGCCTAGGGGATGTGTAGTGAGAGAAGAGTGTGATGCAGATGACGATAGCCGAGATTCCCGGGTTGTCTCCTCGGTAGCATTTTCCTTTTACGTCCTTAAGTTTTACACCAGACATAGTTTGCCTCCCATGAAACGCTCCTTCTTTTATGGCTTTGAGCTAGGCGTAACTCCAAGATCTTTAAACTTCCCAACTAAGGGCTTCCTTGAATTCAAACTTCAGAAGTAAAAACTCCAGTTTTATGACATCCTTCTTCCTCGTTTGGCTCGATGGTGGACCAATACCACCTTAGTCTCCACCATCCACCTTTCAATCCACACTTCGATTGTGCCTTGTGTACTTCTTAGGGGTATCTCCAAATGGCTTCATTAAACTTTGAGAAGGGGATGTAAGGGGGTCATGAAGAGATCCACTCCTATGAATTGACGCAAAGCATCAATATATGGAGTTTTGCCAGGTTCTATCATTGAGGAGGGAAGATTGCTCGCATCATGTTCCTTCCCTTGGTTGGACACCATGTTGGTTTGATCCTCCACATCTCTGGTGGTGGCTCCTCTCGAGGCTCCTTCTTTGACGGGATAGATTTATGTGGTTGCTCCCAGGAGGCTCCTCATATTTATGCTTCTCTTTAGTTTGGTTATCATTGGGTGAAGTCTCTGCCTCTAAGTTCACTTTTTCAAAGTTTAGGTTTTCCAAGGGTTGTGTTAAACCTTGTCTAATAGGTTTAGGTGGATCATCAAACTCAACCACTCCCTTTTAGACATCTTCCATGGTTGAGGATGTGACGATAGGTAGGCTACTTTGTGGATGCAGATTGATGAAGACGAAGAAAATGATAGAAGCCTTCAATTGGTGTGATTCCTTCATCCTAGCTATTCCCATGAATCCATGGAAGTTTGGATTACTGTGTATTCTTCAAGACTACAACCTTCTCCATCCATTGCTCCTTCTAGATGGGGCATTTCTCTATTTATTCCTTCCAAAGATTGAGTTGTAAGCTTCTGGTAGTGCATCCTTGTATGATTCGCAACACCCTCTTCCTTGTTGGTTCGAGTTCTGCAACAAAAAAACAAAGTAGATTGTAATACTTTTTGAAAGCATCAGATCCGAGATTTTAGGTTCTTTCAAATACTATAAAAAATCTCCGACAATGGCGCCAAAAACTTGATGATGTTGTAGTATGAACCAAAACAATAATCCTACGTATATCGACGGTCGTATTCCATGGGGTTTTGGATGACACCTGCTGTGAAACTAACTCTTATGCTCGAATAACAATGCAATGAAAAGTAAATACGGTGGGTTAAGGTTCTCTATCTATAGCCAAATTGCATTGTTTTCGCCCATTTGATGAAGTGGACATGCAGTGGCGGATACATGAAGGTTGAGATACCCCTAAAATTTGGGAAAATGATTATCCAACTTCCTGCAGTCGTTTGCATAAAGGTACAAATAATATTTAAGTGATAGTCTATGTGATTTGAACTTGGGAGATTGCTACTAATAGTAAATATATTTTTTATTAGATAACAACTCATTTGTAGTTGTGTTTTAGATCCAAATATAAGAGTAAATGACTATTCTTATCCCCAATTATTTTCAGAACCTATAGATTAAACTCAATTACGGGTTGCTCTTGTCTAGTAGGATATAACGAGAGAGATTTGTTGAGCAGTGTAGACATCTTACCATTTTTTTATAATACGAAACACATCTGAACATTTATTGTAACAATTACTAATTGAATATTTTTATATTTAATAATTATTCAATTATTTTATTTTTAAATTTAATTTTTGAGAGACGACACCTAATATAAAATTTCTAGATCCACCACTAACCACTATTGACATGATCAACAAAAACAATCATCATTCATTCATCAAACCCCTCAAGCAACAGGTTTCCCACAATCTATAATGACCAAACCTTAAATCTTTCTTTCTCAGTCCCAAGTTTTCAACCAACCAGAGCTGTCAATTTCGTGGAAGACAGACGGACAACTGAAGTTAGAATTGAGGCGAAGAAAGCAAGCAATGAAAGTGTCGCCTACCATTTTACAATTTACACACTTGAGTTGCTTGTGAGGATAGTAAACCCCTTTTATCTTGGTATTCATCTGTGGTTGTTGAACCGAACTTCGTGAAGAGTAATGTCAAACTGATCATGCCAACCCAGAAACGGCAAGAAACCCACTAATAATTGGAACCAATGGAAAAGCAAAACAAATATCCTTCTTTCCCAGGAAGGCCGAAGCCCCTCTTATCCATTTCCCAAAACATCCAAACCAGCCAAAGGCTGTTGAAGAACAGTTGCTCTTCATATTGTGTTTTCAGAGCAGCCAGCTGCTAACCCACCAACAACAACCCAACAACACTGGAATCTTTCAGAACCATCTCCCTCCATTATTACCCAGCTGGGAATTTTTTTTTTGCAGCTTCCTATGGTCCAAAAACCTTAACATTTTGATCTATGTATCTTGTCCTGTCGGCTCTGTTTTGACCATGGACCCATTTCCATAGCATTTGTTCCTCCCTCTCCAAGCTGCAACAAAACCAACCTGTCTCCTTTCTCTTTGATTTTGCCCACTATAATCAGATTTTCTCTATTCCTGTGATGTATTTCCGTCATAAGAAGATCAAAGAACAATCGAACCCCACTTCCTTTTTGTTTTTGTTTTTCTTTTAGGCCTCTTATTGAGAAAGGGGAAAATATCAGAGAGTAGGACCAAAAACCAATGCCGTCTTTTTCTTTTTTGGTTTTTTGCCGAATGAAATCGACGGATCCCTACTCTCTCCTCCATATGGATTTCGTTACTTTCTTTTCTGCTCCGTTATCCATTGGCTTCTTGCCCCCTTTCTTCCTTAACTGTTGATTATTCTGAACTTTGAGTAGTTCCAAAGCGACGGGGACGATTCCCTCTGGGTGTAGCTGGAAGCTCACTGTTCCTCCCCCAAAGCTCCCGATGTTTCAGCACTGAAATCATTTCTGGGCAAAAGTCGCAAACTTTACCACATTTCTGAGGAATCCCTTTTCTGGGGGTCTTGGCTTCTTTGTCTTCCGTCACGGTTTTCTTGGGTTTTAGCGCATGTGGGTTCTCTTCTCAGTTCCTCTCTCTGTTTGTCTTCTTCTGGTTTGAAGAACTTGCTGCTGGCTCCTTTCTCCTCTTCTTTAAGTTCCGATTTCCCTTGGATTTTATCTTCTTCTTTTTCGGGTCTTCAATACATAATAAAAATAAAAAAGCAGTCCACTTAACAAGCAGCTGTATTGAGTGAGACTTTGGAGAGAATCATTATTGGGATTGGAGGTGGGGAGAAAATCAATTGGGAAGGTGGGAGAGAGGGGAAGAGATGATGGGTTCAGGGACAAATTTCGTTGCTACTGTTATTGGATTTGCAATGAGTGTTACCTTCATCATTTTTATTTGTACGAGAATCATCTGCTGGAGATTGCGAGGTGGAGATTCGAGGCCAATGTTCGAGATCGAGTCCAGGATTGATATCGAGCAAGAACTGGTATTCTTCTCATCTTCTGTTCCCTTTTGTGTTTCTAGAGCTTAGCTTTGCTGCATTTTCTTTGATTTCTTCTGAGATAAAACTCATAGAAGTTGTGTTTGGATGTTTTGGGGCAGCAGCCACCTTATCATCATCGAATGAATGGCCTAGAACCAGTAGTTGTTGCTGCTATTCCAACCATGAAGTTCACCCCTGAGGCTTTCAGTTCTGCAGAAGAGGCACAGTAAGTCAGAAAAAAAAAAGCAAACACTTTGCCATCTTTGCCAATTTGCAGCAACAAATCCTACATTAACTCCTTTAAAAAGATTGCAGCTTTATTGTTTGATTATGGTGGTGGTTGTTGCAGTTGTTCATTTTGGGAGTCCTTTTTTGAGTAGTTGTTTGGGTCGTGGTTTGCTTTATAGGTGCTCGATATGCTTAGGGGAATACCAAGAGAAGGAAGTGCTGAGGATCATGCCAAAATGTGGACACAACTTCCATCTCTCTTGCATCGATGTATGGCTCAGGAAGCAATCGACATGCCCCGTTTGCAGATTCCCAGTACAACAGGACGACTCTTTTGAACCCAAACAAGATGCATCTTTCACTTCCAACTTATCTATGGATCTTTCAGAGGAGCATTCTAGGCAATGGCTGCTTCCTGTTGCTGATCCCTCACTGACAAACAATGTTAGCAGCAGCAGTAGCAGCAGCCGAGGGAACTCGATTGCTGCTCATGGTGGCAACCGAGAACTTACAGGTGTAGAGTCACACACACGGCAGCAGACATGATGAAGCAAGATATTCCTGCTTGCCAGTGGTGGGGGGAAAAAAGACAGAATTCAGATCGGTGGATACTGTGTTTTTAGGCATTGGAATTGCAGATGGGTTAGAGTAAGTACCCAAGTACAGCTTTGGATTCCTTTTTTTTTGTATACTTTTTCTCCCATCAGTTCGTTTTTGTACAGAGAATTCAGAATCCATTCATGCCCCGACAGAATAGCGATGAACCCTGATTAATCTTTAAGCGCTGAAAGTTTCTGTAACTCTGTTTTTATAGCCATCTAGGTACTTTCATAGTCTGGGTTTCACCAACTAACAGTTCTAGTTCTCAGCTTAGCTTAGCTAGATAGGATGTTTACACCAGTGGTAATAGACATTATATGATTATGCAGGGATTTTACCTCGAGATTTATGCACCAAACTTTTGGATCATAAGAAGTTCAAAGCTTTGATGTCATATAAGGAAAGGTTTCCCAGCAACTTGGAATGGTCTGTAAAGTGTCGGTATCTAATCAAATCCTAGCAGAGCAATTTCCACATTGTAGAACATGAAATATGATGAAAGAACACAACCTAAGCGTAAAATAGAAAAATAATAAAGGCGTTTTCAAGACAAATGATCATGAAACGATTAAAAACTAAGGGGAAAACATGGGTAATTAAGCACTTCTCAAACTACCTCACACTTAACTTTGTTACCAAACAAACCAAGTAAAAGACCTTAAGTTGGCTTCTCCTTCATGGTTCTGGTTCCTCATCTTTTCTTCACCATGGTTCGGTGTTCAGGAGAAGACCTAGGATTTCTATTGTGAATTTGTGATTCTCCCGTGGATTCAGTTTCATGGAACTCGAAGTTAGGGATTCATTTCTTGTAGTTTCCCCCATCGTTTTTCCTGGTGGGTTTCTCGGTTCAATAGCTTTCACCTGAGGTTTTATGGATCTCTTGTTGATTGGACATGTCCTCCTCATTTCTTGATGGGCTCCGCTCGTTGATCGTCTGTCGGTGGTTCGTCTGTTGTGGGTGGTGGTTTCATCTTCTCTAGAGACTACTGCTCTGCTAGGATTGGATTAGAATTGCTGCATGTGTTGGGCCTGCTTTTCATATGTGATTTTGAGATAGACCATGTTTTATGTGTAAGGCGTAAAATGAGAAAATGATAAAGCATTTTCAAGACAAATGGTCACAAAAACGATTAGGAAATAAGGGGCGGAACATGTATAATTAAGTACTTATTAAACTCTCACAAACTTAACTGTTTGCTTTGCTTGTCCTCAAGCAAACTAAGTAAAAGACACGGTCCAACAAAAAAGATTGTTTGAAAATTAATTCAGACGAAATCATAGGGGCACACGAAAAACAATGAACAACGAGTGGTCATCAACATCAACACACAGAGCAACACAATAGTGATAGTACCAACCACCACAAATGACATTCAAATGAAACAAGTTCATTCCAGTGAACACTCCTCACCGGACTTATAAAATCGCCCTTAAAACGATCGATAATTCAGAATCCCCAACTATCCAAAAATAGAGAACAAGTCATGTAGAACAAGATATCGAGCAAACTAGGTCCTCGCCAGCATTTAAATACGAAAATGAAATACTTGTCCAGTGGGGCCAAGACCACAATGTATGCGAAAGATGTGCACGTTATTGCTCTCAATCCTATCATATCTCTGCCATGAAACCGACTTTTACATATTTGCAATCAAATAGCCATAATTGGGTCACTACTAACTTGTCAAGAGGGCTTTTAACCGGGTTGTAACCTGGTTAGGGTATAGGACATGGAGAAACCATATACAACTCAATTCGTTATCGGCTTTTCTGCTTTGATAGCCTTAAAGTAAAGGAGTAAAGGAGGAAACTTTCAAACTATAGGAGTTTTTAGCCTTCGGGCTAAAAAATGACTCATTTTTCAATTTCAAACATTGTGGCTGCTCTCCTTATTATTTTCTTCTCTTTTATGTTTTTCATTGCTTTACATTATTCGGAGAGAAAAATTTCCACAATCATACTTTCAATAGATTTCGTTAACAACTCACTTTTAGGATGAAGTAGAAAATCGTGCAAAAACCAACACACAAAACCTTGAATAGAGATCAAACAAATGTAGGGTTCAACGAGCAGGGATTGGCTTGAAATAATGTGTATCGACAAAGACACAGGTTAAGGCTCAACATGGGTTGACTAAAGGATATTATGATATGAGTAGTCAATTTGGTCGTGGTATATACCTTTGAATTTATCTTCCTAATCATTGTGTCTCATGGAAAGTGTAAGCCAATTATCATGCGAAGAGGGAACTAATCACACATGAAATAAATAAAGATGAACAAATCTCACATGGTACCTAGATGCTTAGTCTCTCATGCAAATTCCTTACTTGTATTTCATAAGTGAATAATTATACATGTTTGGATCCTCAATTCTAGATCGTTTGACTTGGTCTTAGTCGTTCCTTAGCCTATTTTATGCTAGGTCATGTTTGTTTTGTCATATTTCACGTCTTAGTACGTGAGTATGGCTTAGGAGCGATTTTTTAGGACATTTGGAGACAAACACAAGAAAAAGATGATCTATAGTCAAAAGTCACGACCAGGATGCAGAGGTTACGGTCTTGGCCATGACACTCAACACATAGACCGTGACATGAGCAGAAAAGGCAGTAGAAAATATCACGTCCCAGCCGACTATCTCAAGTAACAGTCACGGCGTGATATGAACAATGTGACCGTCAGTTCCTCCTTCCGACTAAAAGACACGATGGCGTTTTGGTTCAAGTCACTTCTGGAGGTATGACATGACGTCACGGTCGTCGTGACTCATGCACTGTCGAGGATAAAATGGGTTGACGAGTTTTTCTCGTGGGATCTGAGTTTTGGCATCAGATAAGATAACAAGCTACAAGTGCCCTAAAAAGAGAAGGTGATGAGAGCACACCCCTTGGAGTTGATTTGCTTGATTCCTCATTGATTGGAGTGAAGATTACTGTCCTAGAGTAGATTAACATTGTCTACATAATGATCTCTTCTTTTCTCACTATGTTCCTCTCTCTCTCTCTCTCTCTGGACTAAGATTCTCTCTCACTTGGGTATGAAGAATCCTAGTTTTGTATGTTATATTGATGTTTGTTTCAACCCTTGCTCATGGAGCTCGATGTTATTTATCTAGCCTACCGATTCATCTAGGAACTCGGGTAGAACTTTGACCGTTTTTGTGTATATAAAAGTGTCGGGTTAATTGCATGGTTGGTCACTGAGATTACAAAAACCGTTCATGTTTGGTCACTGAAAATATTTAAATCCAATCTTGATCACTCAAATTTGTTAAATGGTTCAAGTTTGGTCACTCTCCGTCCAACTCCGCTAAATATGTCTGATGTGGCAGTCAACCTACAAAGTTGACCGTTAACTTGGTGACGTGGCAATTAAAAAATAATAAATAAAATAAATTTTAATTTCCTACCATTTCCAACTCATTTTCACAATAAAGTAAAATAAAAAAAATAAAAAAATTATTATAATCACAAATTAAAAAAGTAGCTTCCTCTGCCGCCACATCCTTCTCGCAATTCCCTCCAGAAACAGAGAGAAAAAAAGAGGATAAAAATGGCTTCTAGGTTCCTTCCTCCATTCCTGACCCAACGCACCAGGAGCAAGATCGTCGTTGCTCCACAGAAGGAACCAACGTTGTGCTGCTGAAATTCCTCCGAGCCAGGGAGTTCAAGGTCAACGAAGCTTTCGAGATGCTGAAGAAGACCCTGCTGTGGAGGAAGGAGAACAACATCGATTCCATCATGGAAGAGGATTTGGGCGAGGATCTTGCCGCCGCCTTCTTCACCAACGGCGTCGACCGCGAGGGCCACCCTATCTCGTACAACGCCTACGGGGTTTTCGAGAACCAGGAGCTCTACGCCAAGGCGTTTGGGGACGAAGAGAAGAGGAAGCATTTCCTCAGGTGGAGGATCCAGCAACTGGAGAAGGAGGTTCAGAAGCTTCAACTCAAGCCCGGCTGCGTCACTTCTCTGCTTCAGATCAGCGATCTCAAGAACTCTCCCTCGCCGTCCAAGAAGGAGCTACGCGTAGCCATGAAGCAGGCTGTCGGGATTCTGCAGGACAATTACCCTGAATTGGTCGCCAGAAACGTGAGTTCCCCCCAAAATTTTGCTTGTGCTATGTTTTCCAGGACTCTGTTTTTTTTAATGATATTTCATTAATGGCGGATTGATTTTATTGATAATGATTTGCAGATATTCATCAATGTGCCCTTCTGGTACTACGCTTTCAACGCACTCCTTTCCCCATTCTCGACCCAACGCACCAGGAGCACTGATGATGGTTCACTAGAACGTGAATGCAATGGTGATTCTCTGAACCGCCGCCGATTCCTCCTTCGCCGGGGAACCCAGAAGCCATTTTTATCCTCTTTTTTCTCTCTGTTCCCAGAGGGAATTGCGAGAAGGGATGTGGTGGCGGAGGAGGAAGCTACTCTTTCAATATGTGATTATAATTATTTTTTTTATTTTACTTTATTGTAAAAATGAGTTGGAAATGGTAGAAGATTAAAATATATTTTATTTATTATTTTTTAATTGCCACGTCACCGAGTTAACGGTCAACTTTGTGGGTTGACTGCCACATCAGACATATTTAACGGAGTTGGACGGAGAGTGACCAAACTTGAACCATTTAATTAATTTGAGTGACCAAGATTGGATTTAAATATTTTCAGTGACCAAACATGAACGTTTTTTGTAATCTCAGTGACCAACCATGCAATTAACCCTAAAAGTGTCAAAACTATAGCATAAGCCTCAATTTATAGTGCATAAAAGAAGGCTTTTAGACTTTTACCTCCTAAAACTCGGTCGAAAGCTTCCTTGTACGAATGAGACTTGAATATGACAAATGAAGCACAACCTAGTGTAAAATAGGTCAAGAAACAATGATTACCCAATCAAACACTCAAGATATGAAGGGGTAAAACATGTATAAATACCCCGAATCAATTTATCTGGCCCTAAAGCCAAGATCGTATTCTCTCGGGCCTCTCGCAAACCCTTACTTCAGAAGCAAGGTACGATTCTATTGAAGAAGAGGTCAGTTTATGAGTTTGAGGTTCCTCCAGTTTTGCAGAACGTAGGATTACGGAAAGTAAAGCGATGCAGAAAAGCAAATACTGTGATACTGGAGAAATGAGAGAATAGAGAAGGAAAGAGTTGCATAGGCAATGTTCTCCCTATCCTTATGTCGGCTAACCACGCGCCCTCGATGATATAAGCAAACGAACTGCTGATTTCTTATTTTGTTAGATGCCACATTGTGTCGAAGCATTTATCCGAACTAATGGCCGACAAGCTTCGAATTTCTTCATTGAGGCATCCTGTTTTATCGAATGAGGTTCAATCAAGTAGGATTGCTAGAGATTTTTCCAGAAATAGCACTGTTTAAAAAAAAATCCAAAAATAGCACCCAACTCCGAAAAATTCCAAAAATAGCACCCTTTTTGCAAAACCGCCACCCGTACCAGCGGTTTAGGCAAAAACAGCCACCCGGGGGCGCGTTTTTCGATGAAAATCGCACTGGTAGGGGGAGGTTTTGCAGACCGCACCCCCACGATGAGGTTTGTTTGCAGACCGCACCCTCACGATGCGTACTGCTTTTTTTTTTTTTTTTTGAAAAATCCTAACCTAGGTGGAAACTTCAAACGAACGTATCTTTATGTTCGGGTATCCGATCGTCGCGATTTATTTTTTTATTCCGCATAACTTTTTGAGATCTTGCAAGCCGAAGACTGCCAAAGATGGTTTGGTCTCGCCTTCGTCCCAAAAAATGTCATTTGCTACCCCGAACGAGCTTTTTTCTGATTTCGTCAAACTTTGGACAACCGTAACTTTGTGCTCTAAAATCCAAACGACATGATTTTTTTTTTTCGCATAAATTTTTAAGGACTACAATTTTTACTAGGAATGAATTTTCAAAACAGGAATTATTTTTGGATATACAGGATTTTGGGAATAGCTTATCTTCCCTTCTCAGCAATCCATGTACATTTTGAAGTTATGTCTATGATAAAAGTTGTATTCCTTAAAAATTTATGCGAAATAAAAAAAAATTCATGTCGTTTGGATTTTGGAGCACAAAGTTATGGTTGTCCAAAGTTTGACGAAATCGGAAAAATGTTCGTTCGGGGTAGCAAACGACATTTTTTGGGACGAAGGCGGGACCTAACCACCTTTGGCAGTCTTCGGTTTGGAAGATCTCAAAAAGTTATGCAGAATAAAAAAAAAAAAATTCGCGACGATCGGATACCCGAACATAAAGATACGTTCATTTGAAGTTTCCACCTAGGTTAGGATTTTTTTTTTTTAAAAAAAAAAGCAGACCGCATCGTGGGGGTGCGGTCTGCAAACAAACCGCATGGTGGGGGGGCGGTCTGCAAAACCGCCCCCTACAAGTGCGGTTTTCATCGAAAAACGGGCCCCCGGTGGCGGTTTTCATCGAAAAACGCACCTCCGGGTGGCGGTTTTACAAAAAGGGTGCTATTTTTGGAGTTTTTCGGAGTCGGGTGCTATTTTTGGTTTTTTTTTAAACAATGCTATTTTTGAAAAAAAATCTCGGATTGCTATCTCTAAACTCATCCTAAATGACTAGGATTTTGATCCTTGCACCTAGAGGGAGTGGAAAGTCTACTATACAGTCATTCGAATGAACAAATAACAAAATAGAGGAAACCAAGCATCACACATATGAAAATCAAACAATCGTATTAACAAAATCATTAAGTTTACATGGTTAGGACCCCTAGGGTTCACAAACCTACACAAATAAGGAACTTAGCCAGCCATGGGGAGAGATTTCTGGATGTTCATCGATGGAACGAAGACTCCAGAAGGGGACAAGAATCTGCAGGTGGAACAGAGAAATCGGACCAAACCGCCTAGTGGTTTGCGGCTTGCAAGATCTCGAAAAGTTATGCAGATTAAAAAAAATCGCTGCGATCGGATACCCGAGTGCAAAGTTACGTTCGTTAGAAGTTTTCGCCGAGATTAGGAGTTGATATGGAAAAAAAATTTTGGACCAAAACCGTTGGGTGGGGTGGCGGTTTTGATCCAAATCGCCCCCACCCAGAGCGGTTTTCAGAACCGCCCCGTAATCAAAGTTTTCTACTAAGAAATTATTAGTCTCATAGCATTCTCATTTATTCTTGGTGATACACCATTCAATAGCAATGAAATCAATTTTCATTAAAAAATCTTACGGACAAATAATTATTTTCAACTGAGTCAATCATGATTTCCTACTAAGACATGAATTTTACAGCATCTCGCCAATGATTTTTGTTGATTAATTATAATTAAAAATGTATGCATCATCTTGACTATACAATAATTAAAAATGTATACCATTTATTAGGTTTGTACCGATTTTTATTAAAAAAACATATTAACAATAAAGGACACGTGAATTTGGTAGGTAGCTAATTAGTGCTTAACATTCACGATTACTAAAATAATTGAGTTTATCTCATTGTCTATGTGATTTGAATAACTGATTGATCATTAGAACAAAAGAAAAAGAAAATTTTGAAATGGAAGGCCTGGTATATAACATAACTCCATACATTAGCTTAGTACTTGCGTAATGACACCCAACAAAAGGAAGAAGAAGTCATTTTCTTCTGAAATCATCTCCTTCGGCTTCTTGTGCAGGCAGCACAGTAGTCTGCCACTACAACATATACATTCTTTAATGGCTGGTTGGGGGCAGGTTTTATTGCTATCCTTTGCCATAACCCATAATGGTTAATTTTATTGCTTCTTAAATTCTGAAAATTGGAAAAGAGTTTCAGCCAAACAATCCTCCAAAAAAAACTGGAAAACAGTGTAAACCACCACATTATTTGTTGGTTCCCTTTCTAGCAACATTCTTATCTATTCGTAATTTTTTTTTTATAAGAGTGATATAAATTTGTTTCTATCATTAGATGTTGTTTAAGAGATTCGAATCTAATATCTTTCAGGTTGCACATAAGTAAATCTATAAAATTTTTACCAAACTATAGATTAAAGCATGGTTTTACAAACCATATACCAATCGCTTGGACCGGTAAAACAGGATACATGAACCTGATCCGACACTATATGGCTAAACCATTGAAAAATAGCTTCGATCGATATTTAACAGTCTCAAAGTCACACCGTTAATTACCAGCCGGGTTTTGTCCTAACATAAAAAATAACAAAATGTTGAGGATTTATGACAATATATACTAGAATATGATAATTTAAATATAAATAAAACCGAGGTTATCAACAAGCTTCTTTGAATATTTACCGCACTTCAATATACATATAATCATTACATAACTAATCTTGTTTTATTCTTTTAATCAACACCAAATGATATGAAGCAAAGACGTGTGTAGACTATATGGATTGGAGATATATGTGTTTGTTGGGTTGTGGTTCGACTATGTTATTGTTGTTATGCAAATCTGAGGTTGGTCCTCTGATAAGATTTTGACCAAGTCGACGTTTTGCTTTTTGATATAATCGAGGCATGGAATTGAATTTATTTTAATAAACTTCACAAATTATTAGATAATAATCAAGTTAACAGCGTTTGCTTTTGTTTCTCATGCGATGCTCCTTTGATATATATACAACCAGCTAACTAGATGACCGGTTAATATATTGCAGTGCAAGCTCAAGTGACCAATACAATAATAGGCGTTGACTTTTTAGTTTATTTAATCTAACACATATTATATGACATAGTACATGTTGATTTTCGGTCTAGGGTAGAATGCATAATCATTCTTATGTACAAGTGAGCAATTAAATAGTTAAGGTGGGTGAGATTAAAATGATTTTTATTTTTTCGTACTTTTTAATCAGTTTGTATCTTATTTGTTTTAATTCGTTTTTTTTCTTTGTATAGATGGTTCGAGCTCATTGTTATCTGCAAAATAATATATGTTTTTTTATATATTTCGAGAAAAAAACTGTACCACTCGTTACCACCCTCCTACACCCTATATCATCTTCGTTTTAACTTAAATTTTGAAACATTTTGCCAATAATGAACAAGTTCATCGTGATCTATTGTGATCTATAAATTTTTGGAGGTAAATTTTCAGGTTCAAATACATCACATTATACTACCCTGGTATAGACTTGTAACTGGTGGTAGACGATAATCAAATGTGGTAAATGCGATTATTATTATTCCTAGTTCCTATTATCGTGTATACAATCTACACTATGATAATATCCTACCATTGTAGTATAATCTTATGTACCAAGCTACGATCGTATATACTAGTAATATATTTCTAAATTTTCTGTCATAAATATATCATAGTAGATGCATTTTGAAGAACACAATTAATCTAATTTTTGTGCAAAAATTTAATTACGTCTTAAAAGAAAGAGATATAGTTTGTTAAATTGAATAGAGGAAAAGTTAGTTGTCTTCCATAAATGATTGGGGAGAGTTATGAGTGGTTATATATAGGTAGGTATAACCAATAGTTAGTTGTCTTCCATAATTA